CAGGTCCCCAAAGCTCATCCCACACACACCGGCAGCACCCACCTCACAGCTTGCCCTTCAGCTCACAGCTCACCCTGAAAATGACTCCCGAAACTAGGATTCCACAGACTTACCTGGGTTTTTTTTTTTATTGCAAAATTTCCATTTCTCTTTACTTAACAAAATAGACTCTTGCTGACTTCTCGATGAGGTCTGATTATTTCCTGGAAATGGACATGTTTCTCTTTATGCCAGTGCAATTTTTACTAAAAGCCCACAGTTAGCCAGGCTGCGCAGAAATGTTCCAAATGACTTTCTTTTTTTCCTAAGGAGATCAACCTCATTTTTTTTTGGAGGAAATGAGGAAGAACAGACATCTGCCAGCCTGCTCTCACATCCCTTTCGTGATATCAGGCTCTAGTGGCTGGGGGAAGAGACAGTGGTCCAGAGAGCCCCTCTTCTCCAGCACCCCCCAGCTGAAGTCACAGGACGGGGCCGAGGGCCGCTGGCCCTGCAGTCGGTCCTGCTCCTTCCTGAGGGCCCAGAAGAGCCGTGGCCCAATGAGAGACCACATTATGACTCCATAGGCCCATTCCTCCATAAAAGAAATATTAAAATTTACATTTTATGACTGCAGTGGTATAAAGACAAATATAATCCAGTCTGGATTCATTCTGATGTCTTCATTATTATTACAATTTTTTTCTTCTCATTTCAAAGTAGTCAAAATGAGACGCTTCTGGGGGTCCTTAGAAGTACTGTAAGATCTAGGCCCTGGGCCAGGAGGCTGACGATTGCAGCCCCACCCCCAGACTGCAGAGATGCATCTACAAACCAGGGACTAGGAAGTCAGGTCAGCTGACCAGGCCCTGACTCCAGCCTCCTTCGCCCAGAGTCAAAGCCCCTGGTCCCTCCCTCACTGTGACAAGGCTGGTCACACTCTGCTCCCCCAATTTATTCAAGGACAGCTGGGACTAACTTGAACTATTACAAACTGAAGCCCTGCAACGCTAAGCCCCGCACAGAGCACTTACTAGCTGTATGGCTGTGGGTAACTCAGTTTTCCCATCTGTGGGATGGACACAACACTAGCCCCTCCCTCCAAGGACACCGTGGGGAAGAGTAGAGCTTCTAGCACGGCAGGCTTGACCCAGGGCTGGCACAGGGTGCATCCTCATCGATACTGGCTGTTAAGATGAACCATGATCGATTGGTTCATTATAAGAAGTAGTCATTCATTATAATAATTGGCTCAACAGCTCTTCTTTCTGCTGTACCCTGGAAGGCATTGACCTTGGGCTGAAACCCATGGGCACAGCAACATCAGAAGCCAACCCTCTCCTTGAAAACACGCTTGCCCTCTCCTTCCCCTCCCCCAGGAGCACACCAGAAGCCCACCCTCCTCCTCCAAGTCCCCCACCTGCCCTGCTCTCCCTAAAGGCCAGCTGACAAGTTGGACAGGCCTGGCGTTGGGCTCCTCCATCAGGTTCCCCCTACCTAGGCTCTCTCCCCACTCACTCTCCCCAGCAATCTCTCTCCCGGGTGCTATTTCTCCTGGGTTAATCATGTGCTATTTCTCCTGGGTTAATCTTCTCACAGGCATGAATACAAAATTCCTTCTCCACCACGTGCTACATTGGTCTCATTACATCATCTGGCTGCTACATACTTCTCAGTTACTGTTTTCTGAGAACTCAGAAGTCTTCTCCCTCCTGCCTGGTCACTCCTGCCGTGCTATCCTGTAAAAAGAGCGCTGGGCTTTGAAGTCAGCAGGAGCCGGGTTTAATCCCAGTTCCACAATTGACCAGCTGTGTGACCTTGGGCAAGTCAATTAACCTCCCGGAACCCTGCATTGTTTATCTGCCTGAAATGTTGGAGACAATCTTATTTTCTTTAGCAGTGGGACTCCCTTCTATTTTGTCAAAGGGGTAAAAACTTTGATAAGACCTGGGAGGCAGGGAACAAGAGCTCCCACCCTTTCCCGCCTCCCCTTCCCCCAACCCCTCCACACCAAGAGGCCTGCAGGAAGAGCTGCCTTGCACTGACCACCAGCATTTGTTTTGTGGCTAGAATAAACAGGTTGAGGGGGAAGCTGGCTGCTTGGAATAAAAGAGGGGGCTCTTCCAGGCTTGGTGGAGGGACAGAAAAGGAGATGTGCGAGAAGGGACCCGGCTGCACCCTCCACCCACCATCTCCTGCACCTGCCCTTTCATACCTTCCCCACCTCGGTGAACCCCTGCGCACCCGTCCCAGGCCAAACACAGCCAGGGGACACAGCCCAGGGGCTCTGGGCATATGGTCCCTTCTCAGAAGGGTTTTCTGCTGCTTAAAGTAAAATACGTAAGATGACAGAGAAACTGGTCACACTAAATACAGTTCCCAAAATAGCCAAACAAATTTGCTGTGCAGAAATGCGTGTGCCTCTCCATTAACATACTAGGTCACAAGATTCAGTGGAAAGTCTAATAATTATCACACCTTTGAAGAAGCGCGTTTCAAGATGTCTGCACAACTGTCGCGCAATGTGAAAAACACAAGTCACGAGTGGTGACAGCATGGCGGGTGCCACCGCCACCGTGGCCGCTGCCTCCATTCACATCTGAAGGATGTGCTCAGTGTCAGTTACAGGGCAGAGAAATAGAGGTGCCAGTGTTCCCCCACCAGGCTCAAGGACCCCCGAGCTCTGTGGACTCCTATCTAGGAACCCTGGAGCGAGAGTCTGTTTTCTGTACCCACCTGCTCCCACCCACCTCTCCAAATCAGTAGAGGTGCACATCTAATCACTGGGGGTGCACACCTCCTCCCCTTCCCACTGCCACTGCACTTTCCTGCCTCCCAGCCAGCCTCTTCCCCTCCATTCTTGTTCTACTCCCTCTGTGCTGCACCCCGAACCCTCATTTCAAAATGCACACCTCACCATATCTCCCTTTGCTCTGAATTCTTCATGGCTGCCTTTCGCCTCCACGGTAAATCCAAAGACTCTTGCAAAGCACCAAGACCCTCACCCAGCTCTGCAGCCTCATCTCTCCACACGTCTGCTCTCCCAGCTCTCCGCCTACCTTCCCGCCATTCTGCGCAACTTGAAGTTTCAAGAATATGCCACCCCACGAGGCCTTTGCCCACGCTGTTTCCTCCACCTGGAGTGCTTGCCCCAAGGTGTCCATCAAGCAAACCCCTTCTTCCCAAGTCTCAGTTCAAATGGTGCCTTCCCCATGTCGCGCCCCCACCCAGGCCTACACCTGGGCAAATGTGGGCGCCCCTTCTGCAGGACTCTCACCGTGCCAGTACACAGAGGTCAACCCAACATTTTATAATCATTTACCAGTCTGTTGTCTCATGAGACTGCAATCCTCAGGAGGGTGAGGACTGAATCGTTCCCTTTCAGCTCCCCCAAATCTAGTGGTGCAGTGCCTTGTCTCCAGCATGCCTTCAGTGCATATTGCTTGGGTAAGTGATAAAAAACGAAAATAAAAAGAAGGAACAGGCTTTGGTCTCAAATAGCTAGTTACCGGGTGAGTGGGAAGGAAAATTGTTACTGTACTATGGGAACTCCTATTTTTTCTCTCCTGCCCTGCCCTGCCCTGCCTTGTTAGATCTCCCACACCCTGGGAGTGACGAGTCACGCGTGCTCTGACCTATGGAGTACGCTCTAATTTCTTGAATGCAGCTCTCTGTTCTTTGAGGGATCCCTCTGCTATATATCCCTACCTCAATTAGGGGGCGATTACTTCCCTTACGAAAAGACTCATCCTTCGGTTTCTTTAAATAGAGAGTTTTTCCAATGCGTGAAGAATAGGATTAGATTTATAGAAATTCAATTTACATTGGGCTTTTTAGGAACAGATGGTCTTACACAGCCAAGCCACTCCGCTATCTGCCAGGTGCCTGAAGGTAGAGTTTACGGCTCCTTCTGGCAAACTCTCTGCTTTAACCCCTTACGACCTGGATCAGCGTAAGCTGCTCTGAGCAGCTGGCTGCCTCATCCAATGGCCTTCCTTAGAGTCCTCTGCCTCCACATCCCTGAATCACATGATGCTGCTGGTCCCCCCCCCATTCTTTTGAAGACCCTCGAAATCTCTGACTCTGTGGCCTTTCCCACATCTCTGCCCTCCCCCACCCCCACCCCACACCTCTGCTCATCTAGCTTCCTGCTAGGCTTCACCATGCATATGTCTCAAAAGGAAAATCCATCAAAGCAGACACATGCCCTCCACCCCAAACAAGCTTCTGTAGGAGAAATGAAGCATCAGGCTTTTTCCACCCTCCCACCATCAGCATCCAGCACTAGCACCTGTGGTCTTGCATGCACACCTATCAGCATCCAGCACTAGCACCTGTGGTCTTGCATGCACACCTATAATTATGGGCACCTGGGCCGAGAGCACGGGGTGAGCATATCTGTACACGGGGACACCTGTGCTGAGGGGGGAGGGGATATGAGTGGTGTCACTCTGAGGACAGAGAGGAGGCAGCCAGAGAAATGCTGAGAGGGAAAGCTGGTCTGTTCCCTGACTCAGCATTAAAGGCCTGTAAAAATCTACCAGAGGCTCCAAAATTCTCTTTTCGTCTGCGAGAACTAAAGATAAACCTACCCGTCCTGGGATAGTCGTAAAACACTCCCCTTCTAGGGCCCTGTGAAAGACACCCCTCCTTGCCCCAGACCACAGGTGAAACCCACGCTGCCTGGCACGCATCTTGTGAAAAAGCTACAGCCACGGGCCTCGCCCTCCTGGCATGCTGAGCTCCGGGACAGCCGGGCCTGAGTCCTGACTCAGGACTCAGCACAGCACCTGCCCCCGACAGACACTCGACAAGTCCCCGCTGAACAGTGAATAAGTGAGTAGACAAATCCCACGACGAATTATAAACTGAGGCTCAGAGAAGGGAAGTGATTGGCCCAAGGCCACCTGGGGGGAATAACCAGGACTGGGCCCAAAGGTGGCTCTGAGCACTCTGTGTCCACTCTATGCCCAGGGCTAGCTGGGGTGCACCAGTGCTCCTCCACCCAGGCCCTGCCTTACCTGAGAGCACCGTGAAGACGGCCGCGAAGGCGTTGAGCTTGAGACCATCGATGACGCTGCTGGAGTGGAAGAGCTCGAGACACATGAGGCTGAAGCCGACCACCAGCAGGAGGATGTAGAGCACCTCGGAGACCACCGACAGCCACAGGACCCCTGCACGACAGAGGAGGAGACGCCATGAGATGCGGGGTGCCCTGGCGGCTCCCCTCAGGTCCCGTCCATCCCACCCCAGGGGACAAGTCATCTTAGAGTGCAGCTCATGCCAGGGTGAGGAGGTCATAGCCACCCAACCTCCTCACCAGGACTACTCAGGAGGCCATATCTACCCCTTAGCACTCTCGGGGTTACTGCAGCTGGTTCAGGGTGACAAGCAGCCCACAAGTGGCCCATTCAAATCAGAGGGAAGAGCTTCTATCCTGAAGCTGGATGAGAGACTTTTCACTGCTACTAGGAGCCTCTGATGGCCAGGAGGGCGCCTGCCGTGAGAGGAGGCTGCTGAGTAGAGCAGTGGGACCACCAAGGGCCGCCTACCCTGTTAATAGATGACTTTCCATATGAAGTCATTTTCCTTGTAGTTAAGCTGATCAGCATGATGTTCTCTGTTACCTGCAGTTATGAGCTCCCCGACTCGTACACACACACACCATGCTTGTTAGAAGACACCGACATCTTTATCTGCCCTGTACCCAACTCCACTTTTTGCTAGAAACCACCACAACTAGCCGCCATGATCCTACTTTCTGGGCACAGCTGATTGGTTTGATGTAATCATGTGACCCAGTACTGGCCAATCAAAGCCCTTCTCCAGGAACCTGAGCTTGGAAGCACTGAAGCGGACGGAAGGACAGGCTCAGATGGGAGTCAAGCATTCTGACCACAGAAGCACCGGGGTCCAGCTGTTCTTGAAGGCCAGCTGCACCCCCCTTCCAGTAGGTTGGCTTCAAAATTTCTGTGTATTCCCTGAGAGAGTATATCTTCCTATTTGCCCAGATTGGCCCCAATTGGGTTATCATCATTTGCCACCTAGATTAAGGGACATCTGCTGTTTCTCCCATTCCACATTATTCCCCCTCCTTCATACATGTTCCTTATTTGGAGAACCCCGTGCCTCAGTATGTATGATTCAGTTGTAGCCAACTCACAGGCTGGACACATGACTCATATCTGGTCAATCAGAGTTCCATGTCTCCTCAGCTTAGTCTCTAAATCTCAGTTTCTTTACCTATCAAATGGGGGTGATAACAACCCCTATCTCATAGCATTGTTGTACTTGAGGAGTCATCTATGAAGAGTGTAAACTAAGAGCTTATCTTTAGCTTATAGTGAGACTCAATTTATGTGCATTTGTACATCATTGTATAGGAGGAACATGGCAGGGGCTGAAAATTGAACCCAGGGGCTCTTAAGTAAGATTAAGGGTAGAGACAGAGTCAAGATAGAGAAATGAAATTGTGAAAGCAGGTGAGATTTCTGAGAAGGGTGGAGAGTAGAGGATGGAACTTATCCGAGTGACTTACCCTTCAAGCCTCACTAACCACTGTCTGAGCAAACCCACACTTTAGAGAAGGGATGATGGACTCAGGCTTGGTCAGGCAGAGATAGAAGCATGATCCAAGTCAGTTCAATGATAGTCAGTCACAGGAATTTTGCTAGAACTATTGGGGAAGCAAATTCCTTTTTTTCCACTGGGTTCGAGGTTGGGAGGACGAAAGGATAGTACTGACTCACCAGGTGGCAAAAACCTTCCTGAGATCAGAGTAATCCCTTCCTTGGCAGAAGACAATATCCGATAACATTCGCTTGAGGACCTAGATCCAACCATGCCTGAAGCTGCCTGTCATTTGTTCTTTCTTCTCATGATCCAATTAGCCTTGTTTTCAGGTAAGCCAATTGAAAGTAGTATTTCTATCACTTAAAACCAACAATCTGGATCTTGAGTTTTTCTCTTCTCTGAAGCTGTCAAACACGTCCTTCCTGCCTCTCTGTCTTTTGCACAAGTTGTTCTTCCTAGGGACATCCAATATTGAAAATTTAGTGAGTGAAGCAAATAAGCAACAAAGTCTGAGTCCCTATCTGCTCCCTGATGAAGAATCCAGATTCTAAAATACCTACTATCACTCCTAGCACAACAGGGTTTTTGTGCTGTGGGGAACTTTTCTTTCTCTTTTCTTTTTCCTTTATTATTATTAGTATTATTTTGCTACAAAAATATCACATTTCCTGGGCAAGCCCTTGGATTTCTGTAAGAGAATAAGGTGCTCTTGGCAGCCTGGGTGTTGTTAAAACACCCCCTGGCATAGCACACTCACTGCCTCCGAGCCCCTTCTCTGGCCCAAGGCCCACCAGGCAGCAGGGAGGAAGCCCGGAGATGCAGGGTGAGTGGGCCAAGTCAGGAGGGCGGCCACCCCGGGAGGCCTGGTCTCCCTCCCAGAAGCCTTCACCTCCAGCTACTGTTGCCCTGCTGGCTGCTGGAGGCTGCCCCTCACCAGGGCGCTGCTCTCTGACTCAGCCACCCCCCTGGCGCAACCCCACTCCCCCAGGGCCAGGTCTCCACCCCTCGCAGCTCCCCCAGAGCAGGGCCCAGCTCTGCTCTTTCAGAAGGGATGGGAGATGGGGTGGGGAGTGGGGGTGGGATGCTCTGGAAGTATGTTAACCATGGAGAAACAGATTCTGGTGTCTAGATGCAGGGCTGGGGTTATTTATGCTTCTTATTCCTGCCAGATTTATTTTGCTGTCTTCCCACTGGACTCAGTGCATCCATCTGAAAGTTTCAGCCCACCCAAGTCAAGGAAATTAATAACACCAAAAAGAAGAAGAATTGTTGTTATGCTAATAGCAGCAACAATAGGCACGATAAGGGCCCACAGATACCAGACCTTTATCCTGTGTCCAATCAGACTGGACCAGGCTGGCACTCCACCCAATCTCCCTGCACCTCTAGGAGCATTTCTGTCTTTGGAAGCTAGTCCTTGGACAATTAGTCTGTTTTGACAGTCTTCATTCCAGAAACAGACGGTTCCCTCTCTGCACTCTCACGCACCAGTGGCCCTGCCCTGCGGCTCTGACCTGTGATACCAAGCAGCTCCCCGCAGGATCCAGACTGAAACCAATGTTACACTGCCTCATCCCCCACACCTTCTTCCCGGTCCTAATTCTCTAATTCCCCCACACTCTCCCCAGGAGTGTTTCCTGTTTGAAGCACTTGAATGAATCCTTCACTCAGGGTGGGCCTCAAGGGAGTCTGATCTCAGCCACTGGTGGTCACAGGCATTATCAGCCCAAATCCTCCCAACAGCCTGTGAGGAAGCAATGTAACACCACTTTTCAGATAAGCAAACCTGCTCAGAGGGATTAAAGAGCAGGTCTACATAACTGGATCGTGGTGGAGTCTGGGTTCAAACCCAGGCCTCTGACTCCAGGAACTGTAGTGGGTAGGGAGGCTGTAGCAGACAGGATGGAGAAGACAGAGCAACCTCTTTGAAATCATATCACTCTTCCACTAGGGCTGGTCACAGGAGCCCGTCTGGGGTGGGGTTCCTGGCCAAGGCGCTGTTCGGTCGGTGAGCTCGCCAACATCCCAGATGGTGCCTGAACCAGGATTCCTGCAAAAGGCTCGCACCTAGGCAGATGGGGCAGGAGCCCTTTGGCTCCCAGCAATCCTGAGCCCAGCCAGCCACCAGGTAGGGTGAGGAAGGAAGCACGGAAAGGAGCAGATGGTCTTGAGGACGCTGGAAGTCAGACTGGGACAGGGGGGTTGAGCCAAGTTGCAGAAACTAATGCAGCCCTGAAGGTTTCAGCAAAGAAAGAGCCCTGGGCTGGGAGTGCCTGGAAGGGTGTGTGGGTGGAGACCTGCTGGCAGAGAACTGATAATCCCCATGGGGTGGTCTCAGGGGACCACAGACAACAGGGCCAATGGAGAGGCAGGAGTCCACAGGGGGGCCACCTTCCTGCTTGGGCACCGGGGCAGACAGACGGTGTTTATCGCCGAGAAGGGGTCGAACGGAGACAGAAGACCACGCGCCACTCTGCCCAGGCAGAGGCTGCCTTTGCTACAGGAGGCAGCGGAGCTCACTGCGATGTGGGGGCCTTGGCAAGGCAGAGGAACTTGCTAAATATTTGCTGTGATTGTCAAATAGATGGTAGCTGGAGGCATGGGAGCGGATGAGATGCCTGGGAAAAGCATGTGGTGCAAAAGAGGGAAAAAGAGGTGGGAGGAGGCATGCAGGGGAACATCAACACTCAGGGGAAGCGGGAGGGGGCTATGAGTGTGCAGTGACACAGTGGGTGCCCACCCCGTCCACGGCACCTGCCTCAGGCCTGCCCTGGCCATCGGAGCCCGTCCCCACTGTCACCTGCCTTTGGGGCAGGCTGGACAGTCCTGCCCACCACCCCCAAGCAGGAGCCCTCACCATAGTACCCTGGGGGGTTACCTTAAGGCACTAATCACGTGGTTGTGTTTCTCACCAGGGAAAAGGTGGCAAATGTGTCACACCACATAAAAATGTCTGAATCAAAGAGTGGGAAAGCTATTCACTCTTTCGTTCTTTTTCTCATTCTTATCACCACCATCAAAAGAGTCTGTGCTTGGCACACGAATGTGTCCTTAACACTGTCCTCACGCTTGGGGTTGTTGAAGGAGACAGAGCAAGCTCAGGCCCAGACTCTCCTGCAGTTGCTAGTCAGACGGAGAGCGGGGAGCACATTCTGACAGCTGCCTCTGTGCCCGAGATTCTCCCATTTTCCCAGCCTCCCTCCCTGACCCAGCCAGCGCTGAGCCCTTCCCTGCTCTGCTCAGTGCCCCCGGGACCAGCTCCTTAGCATTGCCTGGCTCCCTGGGCCTTCGGGTCAGCAGTGGGGGCACCAGCGGAAGAGCCCAGGGGGGGAGGAGAGAATCGGTTTCTGCTCTGCTCCCTCCCGTCTGGAGCCACATCTTCTGGAGCCGGGGCTTGCAGTCACAGCTGCTGCTCTCACGGGCTCCAGAACACCCTTCCACCCTGTTTACCTTCCCTCCCAAGGGTGGTAGCAGCTCTCTTCTGTTGCCCGGGAACAGAAGGATATCTAGGCCTCCCCAAGATGCCCAGGAAAGGTTTTTTCCAACACATGTCACCCTGGCATGTGGAGCTAAGGTCAACTCAGGCCCTGCGGGCTTCCAG